TCCAGCCCCTTAGATTTTGAAATTCAGGCCTTGGCAAAGGACATTTGCATACTCCACCTCTTTTGTTAATTGCCTTTTGGCCTTCTGCTGGCTTGGGGCTCCCTTAATAAAATTAAATCCAGACCTTCCAAGTTTTTCCTTACATGGGCAACCTTGAAGAATCTGGCTTTTTGTTTTATTATGGAAGGAGGTGTTTCCTTCTGTGGTGGCAGCTGTAACTGATGAGCAGTGCCCAAGGGCAAAATGAATCTTAGGCTGAGTGGGGATACACTTGGGCCAGACAGCCATCTTACCGTGTCCCTCCACTTCCTTTTGGGGTGCTCTGGGAGTTATTCTGTTGCAGGAGTTGGCGGTATCCAGTACAGAGCCTAATGATAAGGATGGGGCAAGTGCCTTAGGCTTGCACATGTAGAAGCTCAGTCACCCAGGGTGACTCAGGGAGATGAGCTCACAAATTTGCCTTCTGTGACCTTACAGTGAAAAATAGGGAATCAGAGCATATCTCATGTGAGGAATCTTACAGCATGTCAGGGGCCCTGGAGGTTATCAAGCCCAAGTCCTTGTTTTACAAATGATAAAATTAAGACCCAGAAAGGAGGTGAGCTGCTGAGGTCACATAAACAATTGCCTTGGTGGGTCAGTAGGAGTTTCCTTGGGAAACCAGATTAAGAGAACATTGCTTGGTGAGTCAAGTCATATTCAGGGCAAATCATAATAACCTCCTCTGTGAGTTTTACAGCAGTGCCGCTGTTTTCAAAATGCATTCACATTCATTATCTTATTTTGAGGCAGATATTATCCCCATTTCACAGATGAGGAAACCAAGGCTCAGCAAGGCTGTTTTGCCAGGTGTCACTCAGCCAAGGCTGAGCTGGTACTAGAATGCAATAGAACTGGTTGATTTAAAGATAGTTCTGAGGCACCTGTGCAAACTCCATCCCCCCCAGGCCCTGCTGTTTTCTCAATATCCTTCAGTCTCTGGAAATTTGTCATTGTACCTCATATGATGGATGTGTAATCCATCTGATCTCAGCCATCTCCCTGCGGTCTGAAGTAGGCCAGTGTTGTTTAACCAAGTCATCGATCAGCTGCTGGTTTCAAGGCCTCTTTGGGGTGGGCTCCTTCTAGGAAGATTTCCTCTGACAGTTGAGCCCATGTGTCTAGTTGTGACTTCAGAGTATGCTGATTTGGGTCCTGTGTGTTGGTTCTGGTGTGTAGTATGCTAGGCACTCACCAAACTCTTTGGCCTGCAACAGGCGTGGTCCAGGCCAGTGGGAAGGGCCCTACATGTGCAGCCAGAAGACTGGGTTTGAGTCCCTGTACCACCATTGCTTTGGGGTGACACTGATCAGGTCAGAATTTCTCTAAGTATTAGCTGGAGTCCAACAGACTTGGGTTTGAGCCCATTATGTTATTGGACAGTTCCTTCACTTCTCTGAGCTATTTCTTCATCTGTAAAATGAATGATAAGACCTAATTCCTAGGGTTCAGTCAAGAATGAAGTGAGATAATGTACACAAAGTTCTTAGCATGGAGTGAGCACTCCATTTGAGTAAAACGGGCAACACCAGGGCCTGATTGGGTCATGAGCACCATGAAAATTCAAAGGATGTTTGAACATGCAGGGATCTGATGGTCATTGTCTCACTGTTTCCCACTGACCAGAGCAGCCCTCAGTCCCTTTTGCCCCCTGCATGGGCTGGGGACAGTCCTTGTTTCTAGCCAGCGTTCACACCTTCCAAGGACTTTAGAATAAGAGAGCTTAGAATAGGTAAGTTTTCGGCACAACTTTATGGGTTAGGACTGAGATGGTTCTCTGGGTCTCTTGGAGCCCTTGGCTGAAAGAACAAAACCGTATCTTGCTTTCAGTCACACTATCTTCACTGAGCCTGTCTGCAGCAGTGGTGAGGTTCATGCTACTATACACGAGTTTTACAGATGAGGAAGCAGAGACCAGAGGTATAGGAGCTTGTTAAGGCAATCTGGCAGAATGGAAATCTCATACATCAGCCACTGATTCGCTCTGACCATGCTTAGCCCTCGCCCCTGCCTGGGTGCAGCAATGCTATTTAATGAGCAAAGCCATGCAGGAGGCACAGCCTGAATGCTTCCTTCTTTTCCTGCCAGGGGGAAGGACCTGAAAGAGCAGCATGACCAGCAAGTGTGTGAGAGGGAGATGCAGCGAATTACCCTGCCCTTGTCTGCTTTCACCAATCCTACCTGTGAGATCGTGGATGAGAAGACTATTGTGGTCCACACCAACCAGACTCCAGTGGACCTTCAGGAGGGCAGTGCCCCCCTCATGGGTCAGGCAGGCACTCCTGGGGCATGAGCCACCAATAATGGGCAGGAGCCCGTGCAGATACTGGTGCAGGACAGCCTACCCTCCTACAGTTGGGAGGATCTACACTTTTTGTTGTGGTTAAAACCCTCCCTCAACTTTTTTTTTTTTTTTTTTTGGTTAATTCTAAAACAGAAGCAGGTGTTGTGCTGAGGGCGAGGCTGGGTAGGGTCCTACCAATGCTCCTCCTCCGTCCCCTGGAGCAGGATTTTGCCTGTGGATGGAGACAGCGGCAGCCCTCACAGCAGTGCTGCTGACAAGGGCTTCCAAACGTTGCCTGTGCCCTGGAACTGAACCAGGGACAGACAAGGAGCTCCCCCAGGCTCCTCTGTGCTTTATTATCTAAGATAGCCTCGGTCTCCGCCCTTCTGTTTGTTCTCTGTGGGCTTGAGTGGCGCATACTGTTATCCATAGTTCAGGTCAAGCGGTCAAGAGGCAGTATTTAAAAAATACAGTTTTTAAAATAGTTGGGATGGAACTCCCTACTGACCTCTGAGAACCAGAAAGGAGTTCGTACAAAAGTCAAAACTGTGGGTTGAGAATGGGATCTAGGCTAGGGGCTCCTGGGGGTGCTCCAGCTTGCTGGTGGTGATGTGCCTTGATAACCATGGGCCGGCCCGGGGCCCAGGGACTCTTCCTATTTCAAAAGGAAAGGAAGAATCGCACTGAACATTCCACTTGGGAAGAGGGTAGAGAAGGATCCGCAGCTGCTTTAGGCCACAGGACCTGAGGGGGCCCTGGGGTACCCTAGACAGTCTGTTCAGGGTGGACAATGACCTCTTTTCGTTTTTCAGGGGTAAGACAAGAGCCAACTAACCTACGGGAATTACACTGTGGGGCCTTGTGAGCTGCATCTGAGAGGTTAACTCAGAAACTAAGCTCAGAGGCAAGGTAATAAAGTGCTTCGGGGCTTGAGTTTGCAGGTGGCTCTGTGGCCTCCAGGCCAGTGCACCCCTAACTTGTAAAACAATCAACCATTGGAAGGGACCTTAGGGCTCCTCAAGCCTTTTGGACACAGGGGCCCACAGGGGGAAAGTGATGCCCAAGGTCAGAGAGCAAGCTCCTGGCATGGCCAAGAGGAGAGTAACATTTCTCCACAGCACTGTGCTGCACTGAGCCAGTGGCTCAGCAGGGCCTCCAAGCCCTGATGCCACACTTGGAGGCCTTAGCAGTGCTCCCTATCCAGAGCTTCCTTCCCAAAGCCCTTCCACTGCCCCACGTGGGAGAGAGGGGGGTCAGTAGGGCCCATTCTCTTCAGCAGACTATTCCTGGGAGTGGTTTGCTGAGGGGACCTCGGCCTCATGGGTCCCCTGGTGTTAGTGATACTGAAGAAAAGAACAGTACATTACTGGTTTCTACTTTTCTATAAAAGCATTTCTGTGTACATGTTTTATATACCTCATTCTGATACCTGCATATAAAGTGCAGGAAATTGCTCTGCATTTGACTTGTATAAATTAAAAAACAAAAAACCCAAAACTCTGTACTGCCAAGTTTTTATGGGGTGCCAGGACACTCCTCCCCTAAGTTGGTTGGTTTTTGGTTACCTCGTCCACACCTGTGTGGCAAGCGCTGGCTTTCTGTCATTAACCCTGGCCCCGTAACTGGGAGGCGGCAACAACTGAGTGGTGGGTAGCTGCTGCCCCTGCCTTCTGTCATCACTAGGAATCATTCAGGTTGACGCTATAGGAAAGATGGGTATGCTGGCCTCCCCACAGGCAGTTTGGTCACTGCAAGTCTTCTCCCCCATCAGCATTCTTCCCAAGGTGGAGGTAGTTAAAATGAACATCTAGGCAGCCCTTCGCAGGTGCTGGAGACAAGGGATGGGTGGTGGTGCTGTTGCAGCAGCCAAAGGGATGGATGGGTGTGCAGAGGGGGATGGGTCCTTGGGCTGCAGGGAGCAGTTTTAGATAGAGGAAGGCCCCTATGGGGGTGACTCCTAGGGCTCTAGAAGCTACCAATGGGAAGTTGTTGGACTTTTTCAGCATGAGACTTCAGCAACACATTCTCTGCCTCTAGGAACACCCGGGGTGATCTTGGCCCATGCCTAGACATTGCTCTATAGTTCTACAAACAAGGGGTACCCTGGCTTATCAGTTTTGCCAAGAACCAGATTCTGTCCTTAAATTGAACTCCCCAAGCTTTGGGAGAAATCACCTTCGGGTATATGGATTTATACCGTGCCCAGGATCCCACTAGCCAGATACCGTCCTGTCCATTGCCCCACCATCTCCCAGGTGTAGAAGCAAGGCCAGGTCTTCTCTCAAGCACCTGAAGGAAAACACAAGGGCTGGAGGTGACTTGCATTCATTTCTTCCCTTTATGAAGGTGGCACCTGGCTATGCAGGGAGGATATCCAGGCTTACAGCAATGTACGTGCATCAGAGGGTGGAAGTGTATGGCCCCAAAGGAAGGACTGGGCCCACAGGTCAGTCAGACCTGCTTCAAGGATTGGGTTGCCTCAGGTGGGAAGCGCTTGTTCCCTGGAGCAGACTGGTGTCTATGTAAGAGGGAATTAGAGTTGGGGGTGGGGCGGGGCATGAGTAGTCCCCTACTGTGGGGAGTCATGGAGCAGGGGCCTGAAAGTGGCCAGCAGAACCCCCATGTATCCTCCTCCTGCTGAGTCAGGCCCCAAATCAATTTTTCATTCTCAGTAACATCACTTATGTTAACTGCTTAATTTATTTGGTCTGCTCAATGGCCCACCATGGGCCCACCACTCCCATGCTTGCTGGGGACAGCTGAGGCACAACCAGCCACAAAATTCTGACTTAGGGTTGCTCGGAGCCAGGGCTCAACCCTACAGCAAGCTTGCACACTCCACATATAAGTATGGTCTATATAGCAGGTAAACTCTGTCCAGAGAGGACATCTAATCCCCCAACTTATCAGGCCTATGTACAGTATTTCACATATCACCCAACAGATAGAGCAACAAAACAGTATTAACATCAACCACTCTCCTGGATCACTCCCCCCCTACTACCTCCCCCCACCCCCCCCCCCAAAAAAACACAACCACCACACATTGCAGTAATATCCCAAACCCATTCCCAATTTGTTAAATACGGTGCAAGCTCACAGACACATAGGAGGCAAATTTTGTTGTGTTTAAGGGTCCCTGGAGTTCTGGGAGCCAATGTAGAGGGTGCCTCCAGCGCTTTTCAGTGCCCATAGTTGTGTGAGGAAGCTGCAGCCAGGAGCTACAAGGAGCTACTGAGCTGGGCCAACCAACAAGGGAGGTAGAAGCCAGAAAGCCCAGCTCAGGGAGCAGTCTCCCCCAGCATCCCAGCTCTGGGACTCTGCCACCACCTCGTCCTGCCCAAGTTGCTACCTGGACCAGGCATGGTGAAGGGTGAGCAATGGCTGCCACAAGGGAAGGGCCAAGAGACTGCTGAGATTCCCACTCTCTTGGCTCATACACTGGGCCTGCGGCAAGCCACACAATCCTCCAGAACCTATCTAGCACTAAGATAAATGTCTTGGGCTTCTGACTGAGGTGCCCACCAGGGTATGCCTGACAGCAGCCAGGATATGGGCTTTCTAGAGGGCAGGGCCCCTTTCTTTCCAGGCCCCAGCCTCTTGCTGCATTTGTGGGTGAGTGCTTGTTGCAGGTAGAGAGGCCCAGGAGCTCTCAGCAAGCCTCTAGCAGTACAGTTTGAGAACATGAGGTGGAAGCTCCCCCTCACACTGATGTGGCCCCTAGCCCTGGTAGATGAGCAAACTAGCCCATCCCCTGACTCCTGGCCAATTCCACCACAAACTAAGGGACTCTTCAAAACTTGCTCCCTCAACCCCTGCCCCAGAGGAGGGTGGGACACAGAGTGGAGGGGTGGGTAGCACCACTGTCACTTCACATCCTTGGATAGCCGCCTGGCCACCAGTCTTTCGTCCACACTCTCACTTGGAAGTCCTCCTGTACCCAGCTGGACTACAGACTTCAGAGCCCACAGGCAGGTTCACCCTGGAATCCTGCCCAGCAGGTCCAGGTCATGCTCATTAGTGTAAGCAAGAGCCTCCTGGAATCCCAATGCCAGGGACGTCCCAAGTGGTCACGAGTAACAGATTCCTCCCGGCTCATGGGCCAGGCTTTTTTTTTTTTCTTTTTTTCTTTTTTTTTCTTCACAGCTTTCAGGCGAGTGTTGGATCTACAGACAGTAACCAGACCCCCAAACCTTGATGTGTTTCCCTGGTGCTGCACCCGCTCGCCTCCTGGGGAGGTAGTAGGGATGGCTTGTTCTGTTTCTAAACAAGCTGCCAATCCACAGGAAGCCCGGACGGCCCTGCCCACAGCAGGGATGGGGCGCAGAGGGGGCAATGGTGGATGCAGAACGCCCCCCCGCAGGGGGCTGGGCCAGGGCTAGGGGGGTGAGTCCCGGGTCAGGCCGTACTGCATGCTCACATTGTGGTCCAGCTCTTCCAGCTCTGCAGGCAGTGGGATGCCCAGCTCCCCCAGGTACAGGGAGAGAGCCTCAAAGGAGTCCTCCAGTTTTGAGAATGCTGGTCTAGAAAAAAAAAAGGGGGGGGTGACTTGAAGGCACCTGAGACAAGGGCAGGGCCACAGGGTGCTGTGTAAGGCACCCAGGCCTGTAGCTCAACCACTTCCTAGTTGTGTGACCTTGGGCAAGCCCCTTAACCTTGTGCCTCTGCAGGAAATGGGGATGTTACATAATGTTACAGCTACTGTGTAGGGTTGCTGTGACGATGAGAGAGAGCACTGTGACAAGGCTGGCCTTGCTTGAAGGGGTAGCTTAAAAAAAGAAAGTTCAGGGGAAAAAAGGCTCCTCTCATGTCTTGGAGAAAATGCAATCATCAAAGGTGGAATTGGACTAAGTGCCTTTTTAAAGATTCTTTCCAGTCCTCAGACTATTTCCACATCAATGGATCTGCTCAGGAAGGGACATTTCATAGGCTCAGCAGCTCTTCCGAAGGGGAAAACAAACAGCAGGCTCCCAGTGCTGTGGAAACAGCTTAGCTGTCTTAGCTTAGCTAAGGCTTACTCCTCCATCTCCTCCATGTTTTTGTTTAACCATCCTGTCATCTTCTCTGCAAGGCCCACTCTCACCATATTTAAAATTACAACTTGCACCCTACACATCCTCTTTCTTCAGCTCTGTCTGGAGAGTTGCAAAGTCTTTTTTCCATGCCACTTGTCACTTCCTAATATTCAATGAAGGGTATTCTATCTATTGTTTATCATCTCTCCTTGTGAGAATGTGAGTTCCAGGAGGGCAGGCAGCTTTGCTTTGCTCAGCCAAGTGCTCAGGACAGTGTCGAGCACAGGACAGGCACTCAGTCTGTATTTTTTGAGTGAATTAAACACAGACATTTAAAATGACTAGGAAAGGATATTAGCAAACAAATACTGTGTAGCTTCACATTTTCTCCTCATGCTCTTACTCTGGTGTTATTGAAGGTCGGCAGTCCTCTGGCCCATGAAGGAACAAAATGTAGAGCCTCCCAACTCTAATGTGGACCTTTAGAAACCATTCTGAAATAAAGGCTATGTGCCAACTGGTTATCCTGAGGGGATGGAGCAGGAGAGTGAGAAGAGCTGAGGGGTACAATGGTTAGATGATCATAGAAAACATGCACTTTATGTGCTATATATTTTAGTCATATATGATTTTTTTTTAAAGATTTACTTATTTAAATAATCTCTATGCCCAACGTGGGGCTCGAACTTACAACCCTGAGATCAAGAGTTGGACATTCCACTGACTGAGCCAGCCGGGTGCCCCTTGAATTTGCTTAAAAGAAACAGGATTTTTGAGAGCAGAAAAACAAGCACAGATTCTAGTTCTCTAATGCACAAACTTGGAAAAAACTGGGGTAACGCTGACAATAATGAAAACCATAACCTGAGATGAATAAAGGTCACTTAAAAAATTTTTTTTAAAGGAGATATTAGCTAAATGCATAAATATGCTCACTGTAGTAATACCTATAAGGAGAAACTGAAAAAACTTGAGTATCTACATTATGTGTATTTTTAATTTTATTTATTTATTTTTTAATGTTTTAATTTTTTTTTAAAGATTTATGTATTTGAGAGAGCGAGAATGAGAGAGAGAGAGTACATGAGAGGGGGGAGGGCCAGAGGGAGAAGCAGGCTCCTCGCAGAGCAGGGAGCCCGACGTGGGCCTTGATCCCGGGACTCCAGGATCATGACCTGAGCCAAAGGCAGTTGCTTAACCAACTGAGCCACCCAGGCGCCCAATTTTATTTTATTTTTTTAAAGATTTTATTTATTTATTTGACAGATAGAGACATAACGAGAGAGGGAACACAAGCAAGGGGGAATGCGGGAGGGAGAAGCAGGCTTCCCGCCGAGCAGGGAGCCCGATGTGGGGCTCGATCCCAGGACCTTGGGATCATGACCTGAGCTTATCGACTGAGCCACCCCGGCGCCCCTACATTATGTATATTATAATATGTTCGGACAGTCTCTTGAACTGAATTTCACATAGTCAACAAAAATGATAAACAGGAAGACTGGGTAGTAACAAGGAAAATGCAGGGCAAGATAAAAAACTTTTCTGTATCTGAGATTATATTTGTTTGGACACAGGTGAACATGAGAACACTTATCCTTTTGGAACGGCATAGGTTTGGGTGAATCTTCTGTTACAATTTGTTTTCATGGCTGTGTGTGTGTTATATCCAGGTCACTCATGGCTATGCCCTTGTCCCCCCAACCACCCCCACCACACAGATCAGAGTTGGTAGGGCGGCTTCAGTGGTGGAGAGCCGCATCCTTGAGCTCAAGGCTTTTGCCGCCCCTGTACCTGGGAAGGGCTTGGGGACGGCGGAAGGCTGGGGCAAGCATCCCAGGCCTGTGGGAGGTGGGGGAAAGGGGCGGGATACCAACCTGCTCTCGGGCTCCAGTTTGCAGCAGATGGCTGCCAGGGGGAAGAAGGCTGGGGGGCAGTCTGTGGGGACAAACTTCTCCCAGAAAAGCTTCACGTTGAGGCCAAAGTCCAGTGTTCGGGGCAGGCAGTCAGGATCTGCATACACCTGCCCGATGATCTGCAGATGAAAAGATGGCTGGTCAGGAGTGGACTGTGGTGGGTGCGGTCACAGGGCAGTGGGATACTGGTGTATGGACAGGAAGGATGGGCAGAAGAGGGAGGTAAAAACCAAGGTTAGGGAGCCGTCCCCCATGCCCAAATCTCACGAATCCAGACTCTTCTCTCAACTGAGAGTCTGGTTACTGAGAAGGGTTTAGAAGAGGCTTCACTGCAGCAGAAGCAAGATGTTCCAGATCTGGAGAGGCAGCTCCACACATCCCACTCTGCCCTGCTGTATCCCCTCATGTCTATGTCCCCTGTCAGAGTTCATAGGGTCTGATTCACGTCTGAAATCTTTCGGTGCCAGCTTAGTGCTTTGCACACAGTAAATGCTCAACTGACTTCTATTAAAGAAAACAATTTTTAAAAAAACCCTCCTTCATTATTCCAACTGTCCCTTGTCTCTCCTCTACCACTCACCATTTGTAGGAGTTACAGAAGACTTTGAACATATGTGTTTGACTGAGTGCTTCCAGACACACCGAGCTAAGCTCCTAACGGCAGAGATCTTTCTAAGACTCACTCTATCCACCCCACTGTGCTCGACAGACTGGCACTTGCTACAGTGGCTACTTCCACTTGTGGGGCTGATGGCTACGGCACTACTAGGGCCTGGGGATAGAGGACCAGAGGGAAAGGCTGCATCTGGACCAAGAGCTAGACGGACAACCATAAGGACACTCTCATCTGCCCCTTCCTGGCTGTGGAACTAAGAGCAAGTCGCTGCCCCTTTCTGAGCCTCAGTTTCCTCACCTGAAAAAACCAATCCTTCTCATGGGACCCATGAGACTCAAATGTGTCTCGCATTGATTTTATGGTGAACTGCCCATTATGGTGTACTGCCCATCATTACAAGAAGCAGTCCCAGTTCTGGGGCAGGGCAGTACTACTAGGCCCGCTGCCTCAGGCCTGGCCTCTGTGCTGGCTGGAGCTCACCTCGCAGAGAACGATCCCAAAAGAGAAGACATCCACTGTCTCATCGTAGCTCTTTCCTTGGGGAACACAGGAGAGTAGGCAGTTAGGTTTGGTCTCTTATCTGCTCTGTACTGAGTCTGGGGCCAAACCAGGCCACAGCCAAGAACTAGGGCTAGAACAGGCTCTGCAGGGATGCCATAAAGGCTGCCCAGAACAGGCACCCTCTGAATATCATCTTTCCTCAGCCCTGGGTGGGCTGCCTCAGAGAGATCTTATAAAACACACTGCCCAAAATGAAACTGCATGGGACAGTGAAAGAGAACTGGATCAAGGTTCACCTGGACTCTGTCATTAGCTAGTTGTATGTTCCTGGGCAAACCACTGAACTTCTCTGGGCCTCAGACTCCAAAAAAGGGTTAAATCAGGCCATTTTTGAGGCCTCACAACCCTGTTCATTTCAAGAATCCTAGCCAGTATCTATGGTTGGTTTGAGTATTATCCACGAGGGGGCACCATACTTCAGTTCTCAGCAGGGAGAAAGAAAAGGCATGAAATCTCTGGCAATAAACAGCCTGAGTTCTCAGCTATCCTTGGGGCACAAAAGCCACAGTCAGGTCTCACCCTAGGCCCAGGAGCTCAGGGAGGAAGGAATTTATGAGGTCCAGTGTGACAAGGGATAAAAGTCATCTAGCCATCAGCTGTGGGTACCTGGCCTTACTTCACAGGCCTCCCCTGAACACCCAGGACTCTACTCCAAGATGTGGCCCCCAAACTCCCTTCTTGGGGCATGTCCCCTCCATTGTCCAGTGTCAGGACTCACCATTCAGCATCTCAGGGGCCATCCAGTAGGGGTTTCCCACCACTGTATAGCGCTTCTTGCGGTCATTCTTACGCAAGGTGCGTTTCTTGGTGGTAGCCTTCTCCACTGGGGGCTTTTTCCTCTCCTCAACTATAAGCCGTGACAGCCCAAAGTCTGCCACCACCACAGTCTTGTCCTGGTAGGACAAGGGCCAGGTCAGGACATTCCCAAGAGAAGTCATTGAGAAGGGGAGAAAAGGTACATAGCAAAGGGGAGTCACAGCTAAAGCTCTCTCTGGCAGACAAGCCTTTGATTATTTGTTTTCTAACAGTCTGGTGTCTGTACAGCAGAGTCCCCAGACCTGGGGGTGTTCACAGCAGAGCCCCTGGAGCCTGGAGGGGTAAGGCTCTGGGACCTAGAGAGTGGAACTTAGAGGCAGAAAAAGGGATTTCTTTCTTTCTTTCTTTATTTTTTTTAAATCCCATTCTGCCTTGTTCCCCAAAAGATTTAAGGCATGGCTAGAACCAGGATAAGACAGAAAAAGATAAGGTGGAGGTAGTCAGTGGGGGGACTTGGGGGGAGATAAGCTCTTCAAACAGCTACAGGGCAGTCATGTGGAAAAGGGTTAAGATTATTTAGTATGGACTCAGAGGGAAGAGCCAGGGCCAGTTAGTGGACACCCAGGGAGCTAGACTGCAAGCTAGCAGGAGAAATGACATGCTAACAACCAGAGCTGATGGGTGGTGGGAAAAATGCTGACCCCAAACTGGCCACTGTACATTTACTAGCTCTGTGGCCTCAGAGTGAGGCCTCAAGGTGCCACAGTTGTAGAATAGGGTCTGTAGTGAGCTGCATTACAGAACTACCATGGGGTGAATCCAGGAAAAACACCAGGGCTCTATATATAGTTAAGGAACTTCTGGAGCTCCCTCTGACCAAAGGATTTCAAAGGCTGCTACTGGGAGTTGGTGTAATTGTGTTTACATGTGTTTGAGAGCCCCCAGAAGACAGAGGAGGGCATCAGGTACGGCAGGAAAGGCAAGACAGGAGCCTTAGGTGACAACTCAGTTCTAAAGCACAAGGGAACAGTCAGTCTCCTTTGTGACAAGGCAAGAGGGCTCACCCTAGGGAGACCCAGGGTGGTGGGACATACCAGCTTGATAAGGCAGTTGTGTGAGTTCAGATCCCGGTGGATGATGCACATGGAGTGCAAATAGGCCTGGAACAGAAGTAAGAGCTGAGGCCAATGGCCAGTAATTTAAGCAGATGCAGACTCCGCAACTGGGGGCCTGCTCTTCTCCCAGGCCATCCCTATTCAGCTTCAGAACCCAATCTGGACCCTAGGGCTAGGGCCTCCTGCTGTCACTCCCTTGTCCCAACACCAACAGAAAGCCAAAGGCTGCTTGGGCTTCCTCTCTCTCCCTGCTACCACCTTCTGACCATCCTTTGTTCACTGACCCCAACCCAGTGGCTGCTCCAGACACTCACTGCTCCCTCCTAAAGTCCCCAACTCTATGGGCCCTGGCCCTTGCATGCCCCCAGCTCCTCTACCCATTTTACATAGATCCAGGCCACCTGAAGTGAGCGCCCTCAGATGCACTGCTCCTAGCCCCCTTCACTGCCATCCTTACCCCAATCTCTGGCTTCAGCCACCCTGGATCCTTCCTGCCTGTGATAGGGGAAGAAGTGACCTCCTCCTGGCCAGCTGGTTCCATATTCCTGATATTCTCCTTCTCTGAGACTTAGCACACTCCTTGTTCTTCCCTCTCCACACTTTAACTTCTCCCTCTTCCTACCCCAATGTTTTCATGCAAGTCTCTGTTTGCTATTCTGCTTCCCGCCCCCCTAACATCCAGGCCTCTACTCCTGGCTCTTGTCACTCTGCAGCCACTTCCTTTTCTTTCTCTTCCCTTCCCTAGCCAATGTGGAAGGAACTCCCTATGCGCCCCCCTCCAGTCTTTTCTAATACTGCTTCCATCCCCAAGGCTCCTGGCTCTGCTCACATACCCAGGGAGCTCTTCCTGAATGCTGTAGCTCTTGTGACCTGCCTGCCTGTCCTTTCTCCCAAGGCTGCCTGGTCCTCTCCCATGCTACCTGCTCCTGAGACTCTTGTGTGCCTGCATTTTCCTTCCAGCCTCCTCAAAGCCACCTTCTCTACACATGCTGACCCCCACTAACCACACATCAGCCTCAGGCAACACTAGTTCTTCCAGACCTGTTTCCCCAACATTGCTGCCCCTGCAAACATCTGGTAAATGACACCACCGTTCTTCTAGGTACCTCAAGCCACCCCTACTCTTTCTCCCCCTACCTCTGCTCCCTTGCTGCCAACCAGTCTCTCTGCACCCTGCCTCCCAGTCTCCCGTCCCCACAGTCATACCTTAATTCAGAAACCTGAAGTGTTTCACTAGCCCCACCCCTGGTCTCCCTGCCTTCAGTTCTCCTAACTCTACCGCCACCTACTGACTGCACCGGACCCATCTTCAAAAAAAAAACCAGCTCTGTTCACAAAACTTTCTTAAGTATCTTTTACACCGTCTTTTTGGCTTCCTAAATAAAGTCCAGACCCCTCAGTCTGAAACACAGAGATCTTAATGTACCTCCAGACTAACACAGTCTTCATGGGCCCCACATGAAGGCAGTGATTAAAATCTCAGGCTTGGGGGTCAGACTGACTAGCCTAAGCTCCTTGCCCTGTCCCTTTCTAGATTAGCTTCTCATCTGGAAACTGGGGTTGTCGTGAGGAACACATACATACACGTTAGTCCCTCAGCTCAGTGCCTGGCATATAGAAAGCACTCAGCAACGGTCACTGGTATTACTACTATAATTGGTCTCATTCTTTCCCAGGTGAAACAGACTACTTCCTCCTCTCTCCTACCAGGTCTTTGCTGCTGTCATCACCTCAACCTTGGGGTCTCTCTGCCAAGAGGAACTTTTATCTAATTCTGACCCATCCTTCAGGCTTAACTAGAACACATCTCTCCCTTCTCTGATTTCATAGGCAGTGAAGTTCTCTACTTGCGCCAAGTTCCCACAGCAGTTGGACACTACTAGTTTGCCTTACCCACGCCCTGTTTGCCCTTGAAGATTTAGGACCCATTGAGAGTAGGTTGTGAGCTAAGAAAAGGCAACTGGGGGCAATTCCACAGGCACAGAAGAAGCTCAATAAGCAGCTACTGACCGACCCAGCCCACACAAGCTGCCCAGGCTGGGGTCTCTGCCTTCCAGTACCTGCCAGCAATCTCCGCACCTATCCTGACTCCCCATCCCCACCTTGCCACCACTCCCACCGCTGGCAGAACTCACCATTCCAGAGGCGATGCCTTTGGCAAATCTGACCTTCTGCTGCCAGGGAAACGGGTCCTGCGGGATGGGGGAATGCCCATCAGAGGCTCTGGGGCCCTGTCCCATTTGGGATCCAGGCCCATGGGTCAACATGGTCTGCCAGTGAACCCTCCCTGCTTATGCCCAGTTCTGCTCAGCATGACCCTTTGCAGGCAAAGCAGTGAGGGAGGTATGCTCACCACACTGCGCAGAAAGTCCTTCAGCGTGCCCCCCTCAATGTACTCTGTCAGCAAGTTCAGCTTCTTGTCTTTGTATAGCACACCAATGAACTTGAGCACATTGGGGTGGTCCAGGCTGCGCATCACCTTCACCTGGGGGTGGTAGAGGCCAAGGAGGGTGGATGGTTACTTCCCACTGTGTCTTCCTCACCCCCTTTCCTCCAGGGAGTCAGTCTGATGGGTGTTACCTGCATCTCCTACCTCCAGTCTTACATGATGGGGTAGAACACCTCCACGTGGATAGGGATGCCTCACAGGCCTCACCCTTGGGATCCTGCCTTTCTGGGAATTTTATTGGGGGGAACTGGAATGGGAGGGTCTGAGAGTGAAACAAAGGCCTGGAGGGCAATACCCAGACCACGGGAGTACCAACTGAAGGAATGGAACAACTTGGGAGGTGTGGTAAAAACTGTGTAAATGCTCCACAAGGGTGACAGTTCTCTGGGAGGCCCCAATCCAGGCTCCCTTAGCAGGGTGTTCAGGTGGTGAGTGTAACTAGTTGTCCTAAACTGGTCTGTTTTCATGTCCATTACCCCCACTAGCTGTAAGCTCCTCTGAACCATATCTGATTTGTTACTGTATCCCTTGTACCCAGATCATGCTGTCTTTAGTAAATGTTCATTGAACAGATAATTAGGCATTCCTCTAGAGCTCTTTTCCGCTCAGCTTTTAAGAAAGCGATTCTAAAATGTTTGCTCCTGAAACTGTTTAGTAAGATCTTCCCTCTTCCAACAGTGAAACCAAACTCCTAACTCCCACCACCCCATCTTCTTACCTCAGTCAGAAAAGTCTTCTGTGTTTCCTCATCACACCGAATTAACTCCTTCATGACCATCACTTTGCCAGTGGCTTTGTGTGTTACCTAGTTACAAAGGAGGGCAACTATTACTGGTGCAGAGTTCTGGGGAACTGTGTGAAAATATATGCAACTGGCCATCCCATCCCCTGGAAGACATACTGAGCCAGATCAGACTGACAGAGTTCATGTGTAGAAGACACAGCATGAGGCAAGAAGGGCCTCAGAGGGGAGCATACCCTCTTCCTTGGAGAGCTGGGCATGCACAGAGGGGAGGCGAGAATGCAGAAAAGGGAAGTATAGGAGGCAGGAGGGGACAATGGCAAGCCAAGCAGGGGCTCTGGTCATCTGACACAGGAATGAGTCCCTTGGGTGAACAGAAGTCTGGGGACAGGAGGGTCAGTGCCACAGACATGCACCAGGGAGCTGGGTGGGTCAGGGTGAGCTCTCCAGCCCCAATGCCCTGAAAGCTGAGACACATGGCTTACCTGACCCCCCCTCCCAGCTCTCAGCAGAGGAGGAGGAGAGAAAGAGAGAGAGGTTAGTCCCCAAGACTGTCAGGGAGGCAGGGGCAACTCCCCCGTATGCTCCCTGCAATATGCCCAGCACTGAGGCCTCAGGGGACCTAAAAACCTCCGCTGACTGGAGGTGGCAGGGCCATGGGCACAACTCATCCCAACCTGGGTCTCCAGGTCCACCAAGCTCACTGCGACAGCAACGCTGCCCTTAGATGGCCTAGGAGGGCAGGAGTGTAGCCCTCACACCATCACCTGCAGCCAGGAAGGGGGGCCTGGTGTCCTGTAGGGTGTGGAGTGAGATCATGTCATGAGAACTCCCCGAAAGAAGGTGAGAGAGGGGTTGGGGGCAAGGAGCAGAGCAGCTGCTGCCTGTGCTCACCTTGATGGCCTGCCCAAAGAAGCCCTTCCCCAGGACCTCCCCGTGGATCAGGTCACATGGCCGGAAGATCTGCTGTGAATTGCTGCTGGAACAGCGGAGCGATTCTGAACGGCTGATGTCACGACTAAATAGCAGGGGCTCCTTTGGGGAGCTGGGGCCAGGAGACTTGGAGATGCTGTTACTGCGCCTGAAGATGAGGAAAGATGAGGGTAGGGCTAGGGTAGTCCTCAGAGACCTGCCAGTAAAACCCTGGAGGTAGAAACCTCAAGGCCACCCTACTACTCTATCCACCCCGATGTCTGTAGTTCAGGTGCTATGATGAGGGGAGGGAGCTCTTACGTGAGACTGATGTGCCATTCTGGAGCTGCAAACATCAGTAGTTTATTTGAGAATCAGAGCAGGAAGCCTGAGCACTCACCTGGAATGACTACTAGCCTATAGTGCTCAATATATAACAGCATTGGAAGATGGTCATCCCACCACCTCCCAGGTCTGCTGGAGTGACAGCCTACCACCATCCAAAAAATGACCAAATGGGATTCTGGCTATTTTGCTCATCTTTCTACCTGTCTACATTTCCCGAATTTTAAAATAATAAGCATGTACGATTTTTACAGCAATAACACCAGTGTACTTACATTTTTAAAAGCAGCCAGTAATAGTAATGGTTGATAACTGTTACTGACTTCCTGAAGAAGGGACAAGAAGGCTGAAGTCCACAGCACTGCAGGTGAATTGCAACCCTGCAAACTTCTCTCCGGCACATCCTATTTCACTTGGGCTACCCAGAAAGGACCGCCCACAGGCTTCTTAGCCCTTGCTCTTTTGCTTTGCCTCTCACCAACTGTGCCCACAGAAGCACACAAGGTGAGCTGCCGTCTCTCCTGCAGAGGATGGTCCTCTAGATATCTAAGCAGCTCTCTGGCCACCACCCCGCCCCGCCACGTTCTCAGGCCTTCTCTGCGCTACCACTACCAGCTCACTTGTGCCGAGGCCAAGAGGGCAGCCAGAAGTTCATGCCAGCAACCTGTGGGGAGGGCCCTGTTTCCAAAAGATGCCAGGCAAGGGCCCTGAGTGATTTAGTCTGTCTGATCAGGAGGGCAGATAGAGAACTTGACTCCTAGAGATATTAACAACACCTCACTTAGTGCTGACCCTTTGCTGGCACTGTGCTACTTTGCATCCCTTTCCATACTGGATCCTTACATAATTGGTGAGACAGCCACCTTTGTCTTACAACCCTACTTCACAGATGCAGAAACAGAAGCTCAGAGAGATGATGTGATTTGTGAAGGGAGAGAGCTCAGCTCAAAGGCATGGTATAGGTGTGTCCGTCTAGAAAGCCACTGCTTCAGACTCCTTTCAGTCTCCCCACTTGGCACCTGCATCCAGGGCAACCGCTCCCTCCTGTTGGACCTGGACAACCCTGAGGTTTTGACCATTGGGCCCTCAACTCTAAAACAGTTTGTATTCATCTCTTGCTTTATAGTTTTCAGTGTTCTTTATTTATACTTATTAATCCTCCCTGTGCCCCTACTCCAGCCTCTGAGCCCTGCACCTCCCTTTGCTGGTCCTTTAGGGGCTGGCATTGCTGCCTTCTGTCCAGCTCAGGAGTTCAGTGGACAGGGGCTGATTCTCTGGTTTCTAAGGAAACCTGGCAGACAGCTGGGTCAGATCATGCACAGGCCCTGGCTATGAACTGTGATTCCTATGGGGGGAGCTGGGTCAGCACAATCCTCATGGCTCGTCCCTAGCTGGCGGGTTCCCTTTCTAACTCCCAAAGCCAGTTCAACCTCATCTGAGGGATAGGCATGGGTCAGCATGGAATCAGGATAGGAGGTAGCACCTCAGGGAGCGTCTCCTTAGTGTGCCTTCCAGATTCTCCTTAGTGTCCAGGGTGCTGAGGGTATGGGAGTGTCCGGCATTCTGCATGTGGGGGGAGAGTCGTGCATCCAGCCGCAGCTGGTCCAGGCGCTGGGACACAGGATCATGTTCAATCAAGAGCTGAAGCGTCTGGCTTGTCTGGTTAATTGCATCCTCTACCTGTAGCCAAGAGCAGTGTAAGGCTGGCTCCCACAGGCTGTCCCAACCCAGGCCACCCATCAGCCCAGATGATCCAAGCACAATATGGCCAATGTTCAACTTGGCTAATGGTGGCCTCCAGCTGCCAGCAGCCCCACAGTGCCCTCTCCCTGGCATCCTGTCAGATATCCCATCTGTCAGGCCATCCCTGTTGTCCTGGGAATGTGCCAGGCTGATACAGGAGGTCACCAGTGGTCACAGGCTCAGTGGCAAGACAGAGATAGATTGGGGATGGAGAAAGGCAAAGGCCACAGCCTGATGTCCCAGAGGGTCTGTTCCATGTCCCACCCCCACACGACAGACTGGACACACACTGTACCTCTTCCACTCGGAGTGTGCGGACGGGGATCCCATTGATCTCCAGGATGCGATCCCCAGGGTGGATGGCGTTGCGGTTGCTGGGACTGATGTGCATCCGGTTGACCCTGGGCCAGACAAGAGTTGAGTCAGGACGAAGACATCCTAAAAATACACCTGACCAATTTCACTTGTGCAGGAAGGCTCACCAGGCGCCAGGCTCCTACCAGCCCCCAAGACCCAGACCACTCACAGGGGAAACGCAATGCTCTTTACAGGGTGCCCTGTCTCAGTGAAGGGCACCCCCTCTCACCCAGTGGCCTATATCAGACTTGGATGACATCTTCCCTACCTGGAGTTCTCTCATGCCCCCCAACCCTCGCTGTCTTCAAAAATCCTGCCTTCACTTCATCACCATAGTTACCAACACCTCTCACCTGTGTTTCAATAGCCTCCTAAATGGTCTCTACACTACCAGGCTTGCTCCTCTCCCAACCAACACCCATCCCAGGAATCCTTCTAGAACGCTAACCTGGTTGCATCACCTTGTTGCTTATCCCTCAAAAGACCTGCTCATGTCTTCATAATCCCTACATGACTTAATACCCCCTTTCTGGCTACTCCCAACCACCCAATCTATACCAGACACAACCACAGACTCCCACCCCTGCACTGAACACGGTGCCCCCCCTTCATCTAATGAGGTTTTAGTGCAGATCTCACCTCTTGCTGACTTCCCCACCCCTCGCACCTCTCACCTATACTGCGAGTACCTAGTGCTCAGCACACAGTACATGCACAGTCACTATTTACGGGGCTGGCAGCCACAGGTGCCTCATTAATGGTATTAGACAAATACAGACTCTTTCCCCATCTGGTCTCTGGCCTGGACCTGGGATGAAGTCTTAACTTCTTTCTCTTCCTTCCTCCATTGATTTACTCAACCAACAAAACAATAATCAATCAACATGTACTACATGCCAGGTACTGTTCTAGGCCCTGGGCATGTAGTACTGAACAAGACTAAGTTCCAGAAGGAACTCGTCAGGAAGACAGATGATAAACTAATATACATAATCAAGCTGGATAATTTCAAAGAACAAACATGATATGAAACTTCATGCATGAAAGGTGAGCTGTTCTGGCATTGAGTATCTATCTGGTGGGAAGCAAGCTAGGCAAAGGGAAGATTAAGTGCCAACCCCAGGTGGGGTTAGAGCACAGTGAGCTCCAGGAGAAAGATAGGAGATGAGGGTGAAGGGAGCTCTGCAACCCCTGAGGCCCATCCAAGGACTCTACGTTAACAACTCCTGCTCTACGGGTCCTCAAAATACTCACTCTTTTACTTGCACAGTGGTGGCATAGTTGGAGCAGGCACTTTCCACGGACACGGAGAAGCCCCGTCTGCCCTCGGTGGTGGCTGGCATGGAGATGTGTGTGACGGAGTAAGGCAGCTGGTCCTGAACAGACTCCGTGGAGAGCCTCTCAAACATGGGTGCCAACACCACCTCATTATGGCACTTCCCACTGGGAAGAGGAACATAAAGGGGGCTAAGATCCTGGAGCCCCACCTGGAAGCCCCAGCAACCACTGCACCATGTGGCTTCAAGCAATAGTACCCACATTCCCACTATTACCATCCTTGCCATGATTCCAGTTGGCTGCTCAGAATGAGCCCAGGGTCCCTGGGGTAGGGTGGGAATGTGGGTGCAATGGCCTGGGTTCTCTTCGCTCTGCTTTTGACTCTCAGTAAGAACCAAGTCCCCTTCCCCTCTTTGGGCCTCAGCCTGACTTCTTTGTCAACTGAGGCAATTGGACTGGGTGAGCTTTAAGGGGCTTTTGCCTTTAATTTTCTGGGATCCTTCTCTGAGCGTACCTCCCAGCCTTCTCTCCCTCTGGGAGGACTGCAGGGCAGAGTGTCATTATTCTCACAGTAGACTAGAGGACAGAGGACAGAGAGATGTTAACTGTCTGCTTACAGATTACTGAGGTTGTTACGGGCATTGTGATGATAGGAATCCAGTGCTCTGACACCCTCGTACTGTTTCTGCCCAACTCACACTGCCATGCCATCTGTTTCTCTCTCTTGGCCACTCTTAGGGGGAGGATGGACACCACCTTACCAGTAGAGGGTGGAGTGCTGCACCAGGGCATATGCATCACCATCTTCAATGATCACCTTGCAGCTCATACAGGCAAAGCACTCTGGGTGGTACTTGAACTCCCCGGCCACCTGTGAGCAGATAGGAAGAAGGGTAGACAGATGACAGATGGAGGAAGTGAGCTGTCATTGCTGGAGGGTAGGGGTACGTGAGTGACCTCCAATCAAGGATCTACAGGTCCCAGTCACAATCCACCTTTGCACTCCCTGCCCTAGAGCTTCCAGAGGACGAGTCAGATTGGTGCCTCCCTGTCATTTCTGAGATTACAAAAAACTGTTTTGGTCTCAGCCATGACAGCAAGTCGCCAGAAGTCATCATCCCCACTAGGAAGGCACAGTTCCTCCAACGCAGGGTTGGCAAACCTGTGACTAGGCTTAAAGCCCATTTCTGGAGCAGGTAGGTGGAACCACTCTCTAGTAGCCCATTCTAGGGTCACCTTTTCTGATTCTCTGCACACAATTTGGGTGTATCCTCCTCAACCTGTAATGCTCTCCTCTGAGGCCTTAATCCCATTGTACTGTGTCTCCTCCCTGCCCACCCACCCACCCACCCACTCCCAACATTGGACTGTTGATTTTAAGGGAAGGATCTTACCTGGCACTTAAATGGTACTCAACAAACATCTATTAAATGACTGAAGAAATAAAAGGGGAGGCCTTGGCAGATGAAAGGCCATGGGGAACCAGAGGTGCCGTCAATGGACTCTGATGACCAAGAGGGTCTCACTCACCATGACAGGCCCTGTCATCAGCAGAGAGCACCCATGGCAGAACTCCCCAAACTTCCCCCAGTAGTCCTTGTGGCAGTAAAGCTTCCCATCCTTCTCATAGTACCAGTTGGTGAGGGAATCCTGGCATTCTGAACACCTGAAAGGAGACAAGAAATTCTTCTGGATCCTTGGAACCAGGATACACAGGCTGTCTCTGGCTCCCAGGTTTAACAAAATGGACAGACCTCTCTTTGATCTAAAGCTAGGATGAGGGAAAGTTAGAGTTTACTGCCATCCCCGCAAAGGAAGTTGATTCAGCGTCAAGAAGATCCCAGAAACCAGTTCTGTATTGCCTGCCTCACCTAGCAGACCTTAACCTTTTTGGGTCTTGAAGCCCTTAGAGAATCTAGTAAGGGTCAAGAAGCCTCTCTCAGGGACGCCTAGGTGCTCAGTTGGTTAAGCGCCTGCCTTCGGCTCAGGTCATGATCCCAGGGTCCTGGGATCGAGTCCCGCATCAGGCTCCCTACTTCTCCCTCTGCCACTCCCCCTGCTTGTGCTCTCTCTCTGCCAAATAAATAAAAATCTTAAAAAAAAAAAAAAAAAGAAGCAGCCCCGCTCAGAAAAAGGCACATACAAGGAAAATGTGCTTTTGATTTAGGTATGGTGTGTGTGTGTGTGTGTGTGTGTGTGTGTGTCTGTCTGTCTGTCTGTCAAGGACTGAAACCTAGTCATGTCCCCAGTTAAGAACCTCTGGTCTAGACAGGTATCTTGATGAACCAAAGAAGCTCAATCTCACCTCTGTTCAAAAACCTACCCATCACCATCACCATTGCTGATGTAACATTCTTGTGAAAAAATTATGTTAAGCATTAAGAAACAATCAGGCAAATCCAGAACGTGGGTCATTCTGTAAGACTACTGGTCTTGACTCTTCCAAAAGTTCATGTCATGAGGGGAAAAAAAGTACAGGGATTAAAAAAGCCCAGAGACACAGCAACCAAATGTAACACTTAACCTAGGATTCAATCAATTCTGGATTGAAAAACAAACAGCCATGAGTGACATTTTTGGAACAACTGAGGAAATTTGAATTTGGGCTATACACTTGATTATATTGTGAAATTACTATCCATTTTCTTAGGTGCAATAACGATACTTTGGTTATACAGAAGAATTTTTAGAAGAAACTTATTAGAATAAAGGTGAAGTCAAAATATCTACAACCTACTTTTTCATAGTTCAGCAAAAATAAAGTACATTGTGTGTGTTGTGTGTAAATACTTAAAGAGAAACTGGCTTAAAGTTAACAAATCTAGGTGAAAGATACATGGGTATTCTTTGAACTATTCTTTCAATTCTTCCATATATTTGAAAATTTTCAAAATAAAATAATGGAAGGGCAAAATTCCATTAGCACTGTGGGAGATACATGTTAGACCCACAGCTCCTTTCTCCTCCAAGTTATCTGGTTGTAAAGCTCCACCCCTCAGGTTAGGTGTGTTCTCAAGTCTACACAAGATAAGCTCCTCCTCATTTCTGAGCCTCCCAGCACCCAGAACTAAGGGCTTCCTGGCCTGTGGAGCCCATGCCATCTTTCCAGTGAAGACTCTCTTCTTGTTGTCAACACTTTGTACCACCCATCCTGGCCACACCCTTGCTTCTTTTTTTTTTTTTTAAGATTTTATTTTATTTATTTATTTATTTATTTATTTATTTGACAGAGACAGAGACAGTGAGAGCAAGAACACAAGCAGCGGGAGTGGGAGAGGGAGAGGGAGAGCAGGCTTCCCACTGAGCAGGGAGCCCGACGCGGGACTCGATCCCAGGACACCGGGACCATGACCCGAGCCGAAGGCAGACGCCCAACGACTGAGCCACCCAGGCGCCCACACACCCTTGCTTCTGAGAGGCAGGATGGAATAGCCTCTTAGTGTGAATCCTGACCCTGCCAACTCATGTCATCTTGGGGAAGTTACCTCACTTCTTTGCCCCAGTTTCCTCATCTGTAAAATGGACTACTGTGAAAATGAAATAACATGTATCAAACTATATAGATGTTTATATAAAAGGCTAAGTACAGTAGGAACTCAGTGTTAACTGCTCTTAAAGATGATAATGCTAGCTGTTCACATTATCTGCCACTTCCTCCACTAGCTGGATAGCTTTGGACAACTTCTCTGTTGCTTTTCCTCCTTGACAAAATGTGATAATAGCATCTTACTACAAAGAGCACTGTGAAGACTAAGTGAGCTACTATATGAGGAAAACCTTTTGCAAACTGTGAAGAGCATAGTAGCTTGCTAGGTACTGCAGATATAAAAGATACACAAATTTAATGAGTTGGGGAAGAGAAAGTCTAAACAAAACTTAAAGGTGAGAGGTCACAATGGGTGTCACTACTTCTGGGCATTGCAGGAGGTAGAGGAGGGAGACAGGAAGGAGTTGAAGCAGCTGTGGAAAGCAACTGAGCTAGGGAGGTCTAGAGAGGCAGGGCCCTGAGAATCTCTTTATGGAGTACCCAGTTCCCCCTGGGTGTTCAACACTGATGGCGTCTGCCATCAGTCATTCCTATCCTATAGCATTTCCTCGTTCTTTGGATGCTGAACTTCGGGGACTTGAGAGCTGGGTACGGCATGAAGAGTATGGATATGAAGTATCTAGAATGGCTCAATTAGAACCATGAATTATAGGTGGCAGGGAAGACCCTGTTCTGGGCATGCAGTTCAAATTCCTTTCAATGGAAAAGGCATGCTAGATGAGCTCCAAATTGGGAAGGAGGAGGCCTGGTTCAAGTTCTTGGAAGCTACATGCCCTTGGACAAGGCCCTTTCTCTCTCTGCGTATAGTTTCCCCACCTGTAAAATGAGGTAATTAGACTTTACCCCATATCCCCTTAATTCTGTGCATATCTAGGTCTTTCCCTACATGATCCAGGGTTCAAATCTCAGAATCACCACTTACCACCTAACTGATCTTGGGCTGGCTGCTTCACTTCTCATTTGTGCAATGGCAACATTACCACCTACTTTCTGGGTAGCAGTGAGGACATTCAATCCAGTTCTGAATGACTGTGGAGCCTAGCAAAGGATCAGCACTAGAAGCAGGAAGTTTGCCTCCCAGCTTCTGACTTGAAGCTCTTAGGTACCTATCTCTCTCCTTCACTAACTGTGAACTCCTTGAGGACAAGAGCAGTGCCCCATTTATTGTCGGTAGATTCAGCATTACCTAACAAAGGGCCCAGCAGTGTAATAAGCCCTTTGCCGAGGTTTCCAAACTGAAAATGGTGGGAGTAGCAAGAACCAGCAGTCCAGATGGGAGCACAAGCGTTCTGTGGCTCACGGTCACCAGGTCCTGCCCTTCTGCTATCTGCAGTGGAGAAAAGCTGGTGCACATGTATTTGCACCTAACTGCAGGCCTGGGCCCTGTTACACCCTCTCAATGGTATGTGTGCTGCAGGGCACAGGAGTACCAGAACACGTCCTCCTTTCCACTGCCAAGATCCTGCTTTTGTTTGTTGCAAGTAGCCCTGGCCAGGCCCAGGAGAGTGGGGAGAGAAACGAGTGCAGACATGCAGGAGAGCCACACCAGGCTTCTGGGAAGAACACCTGCCTGGCGAACGACATCACCAAAGCACACATCTGTGTCAAGGAATGCCTTTGAAGGGTACAGCCAGCTACACAGTTGAAGTCAGCTGCCGCAGGTGTCTGAAGAACAGGAAGGTGAACAGCTGACAGGAGGACTGGCTGTGGGTCCCTAAGCTGTTTTGTCACAGAACACAACTGGTTCTCAGGTCACTGGAGTGGTAGACTTAAGAGTCCTTGTTTAGATATTAAGGAGTTAGTTACCTATTACTTGAATGCCAACCATATTCTGGGTACTGTATGAGGTGCCTTACTTCCATGATTTCTAATCTTGACCACATCCTGCAAGGTGATAGGATTATCCCTGTTCTATAGACCAGAGACTGAAAAGCAGAGCCAAGTCACTTCTCAAAGTCACCCAATACATACACGATGGAGCTGGAGATTTAACTTGTGTGTACTTGGCTATGAAGCCATTTCCACTAGACCGCATCACCTGAGTAATGCAGGACATCCACTAAGCTGGGCCTCAGGATTTGCATCTGTGAAAATGAGGCTGGAGCCCTGAGAGCTGAAGTCCCTTTAGTGTTAACATGTAATGAGGTTTCTCCTTAAATCCAAGTACTGAATGTTAACTGGCACAATGATTCTCCTTCCTTTAGTCCACAGTGTTGTGTTCCCTAGCTGTCTCTGCCTTTTTAAGAATCCAAAACACACTGTGAAAATTTAAGGTGCTACCCCAAGAAAATCCCCCTTCAGATTCTTGGAGGTCATGGCCACAACGTTTCTTCCAAAGCCAAGGCCTTTTTCCAGCTTTCAATCTTTTTAAGTTTCAAGTTTAAGTCAAAATCTGCCCTAGCTGAGGGCTGCCCAAGGGCATCCAGCTCAGAAGTCATGGAGCCAGTGGTGGAGCCATACACCGAGATCTGAGGCATCAGTCACCACCCTCTCCCAAGCAACCAGAGTGAATAGAGCTGAAACGCTCCAGCCAGGAGAGATCAGAGAGAGGTCCACATGCACTGAGGACAACCTCCAAAATTCCTCTCTCAAAGCACTATAGAGGGCCTGGGTAGCCACAAAGTGAACTGAAACTTGGTGGTCACTTCAGTGGGCAGCTCAGATCCAAACTAAGGACTTTTTTTTTTTTTTTTAAAGATTTTTTTTATTTTTTTTAAACAGAGGGAGAGAAAGTGTTTGGGCGGGTTGCGGGGGGGGTGTGGGGGGGGGGGGGCAGAGGGAGGAGGAGATAATCTGAAGCAGATTCCCCGCTGAGCATGGAGCCTGACCCGGGGCTCAATCCCAGGACCTTGAGATCATGACCTGAGCTGAAATCAAGAGTCAGATGCTTAACCCACTGAGCCACCCAGGTGTCCCTAAAGATTTTATTTTTAAGTAATCTCTATACCCAATGTGGGGCTTGAACCCACAACCTCAAGATCAAGAGTCACATGCTCCACTGACCAATCCAGCCAGAGACCCCAAACTCAGGACTTTTGAGTTAGCAGGGAACACAGTTTAAAAAAAAAAAAAAAAGGAGATAATCAGGTTGAGATTCTCACAAATAACTTTTCAAGACC